TGATTAAGTAGAAATTAGGAAAGTATAGGTAGCATGGGTCTAGGAAGATAATAAATCTGTATCTGTGTATATTGGAATGAATTTGACTACCAGTCAGAAAAACCTGACTAACAGTGGCTTTAATAAGTAAAGGGTAGGAGTGGTTGGCCACTCCAGGAGTCTTCTATTGGCTTAGCTGACAGAGCTTTGAGTCAGCATCTCTGGTTCTCTTGGCCATTTCCTCTTGGTTGTAAGATGGCTGCTGTAATTATAAGCATTAAATCTATAGACAGTAGCATCCCCAACTGGAAGGAAAAAGAGTATGCGAACATGGAATAGTCTTCTTCTAATGGCAAAATAATTATTGTCCAGAACTATGTCACGTGATCTCCTTAAGCTGGGAAAGCAACTATATGACAACAAGGAATAAGATTGCCACAGTGGCTTAGAACAGTTATGGTTCATCTCCTAGGACTGGGCACACTGTCTCATGTATTCCTGGCTGGCAAGGCATGGAATGAGGCACAGAGTCTCTCTGATTTATTAATTGTGAATTTGTTTTCTCTACAAAATACATTATGAATCTTGAAATGGAAATCAGTAAGAAGGCAGTCTTTGGTTGACAGATATTCCTTTAGAGGGCAAGTTTAGTTTACTGATAATCTTAACTGTGACATGGTACTAATATTTTGTTTTCTATCTAGCTATCTCTTAAAAACAAAAGCCATAGTAAATGCATCTGAAATGGATATTCACAACATGCCTCTACCAGAAAAAGTTGCGGAGGTAAAAATTTGTGATTATTGTGTTTCCTTTATATAGACAACACCTGATAATTTGTACCCTTTTCCTCATCCCTTTAACATTTCTCACAAGAAATACTGGTTTGGTGGTGATGAATTCCTAAAGCTTTTTCTTGTATGGGAGGAAATGATGTTATTTGAAACAGTGTGTAGAGAGATGTTCAAGTCTTAAGGGTGCTGCCTAAAACAATGGAGATTTTGGTAGTAAGTAGTTAAGAGGAAGCTGGTAGTTCCATGAGATCAGGAAGCTAAACTTTAGACTAGTTCATAAGAGAGAATCAGAAAAATAGCTAAGAAGAGTCTTCCTGGAGTTGCAACAAAAAAAGATTGGCCTTAAGACTGCCCCTATAAAGTGGGGGTAGGGTGGTGGTGGTGGTGGTGGGCTGAATTTAATTTGATTAGACTGTGGCTCAATTTATGTCCCGGGGCATTGTTAAAAACAATAGAACAATCAGCCAGCAATTAGTGGAGGCTAACAGCTGGGTATGATGCTAATGGAGGCACACAGCCTCCTTAGAGATCTGGGAAACAGACAAAGAGAGCCCTGCTAAAACCACTGTAATCCCAGGGTGACTGCACAGCCCAAGACTGTGTCCTCTGAGGAGTGATATCAGAGGCTGCACACTGTGAGGGAAACCGACATCAATATAGTCTTGCCAACTCACTAAACAGATAAGCAAACCACCACAAGAAGGGGTTGTGTATCCAAAGTTGCTATAGTATGTTATGTAAACTGTCTAGTTTTCAATAAAAAATTAGACACACAAAAGTATAACCCATACACAGAATAAAAAGCAGGCATCGGAAACTGCCTTTTAAAGGGCCCAAATGTTGGATGTAGCAGACAAAGTCTCCAAAGCAGCTGTTATAAATATGTCCAAAAAAACTAAAGGAAACCATGCTTTAAAGAAGTAAAGAAAGTATGATGACAGTCTCATCAAATAGAGAATATCCCTAAAGAGAGAAATTATAAAAACCAAATAAAAACCCTGAGTTGAAAAGTACAATAACTGAAATGAAAGATTCGCTAGAGGGGCTCAGCAGGTTTGAACTGCCAAAGAAAGAATCAGAAAACTTAGATTGATGAGCTTATGAACCGAGACTAAGAGACCTGTTGGACACCATCAAGTATTCCTAAATATGCTTTGGTAGTGGGAGTACAAAAAGAAGACAGAGAAGTAGAAAAAATATTCAAGGAAATTAACTTTTCAAACTTGATGAAAAACATTAATCTACATATTGGAAACCTCAACAAGCTCAGGTAGGATAAATACAGAGATCTATACCCCAACACATCATAGTAAAAATGTTGGAATGTAGATAAAGAGAAAAAATCATGAAAGTGGCAAAGAAGAATGATTGAGCATATCCAAGGGCGCACAAGTAAGATTACAGGCTCTAGAGTTCTCTCTTTAAACAAAATTTTCTGATGAATTTTGGGTATTCTTGTATCTTAGACCATAAAAAGATTTAGTGTACTGTGAGAATTGTGTCAGAAATATAATTTATTTTGGTTAACCCTGACTTCAACATAAGACTTATTCATTATTCCCTATTCCATGATAAGTTTATTTATGAGTCTAAGTACATGAGTAATAACACTAAATTTGGTTCTAGATACAGCTATTCTAAGGTAAAAGAACTATTGAAAATTATCTAATTACAACAAATATCTCTTCTAAACCTGACAACCAGAGCTACTTTTGAAGACTATTAGCAGAATTTTAAAGAAAGGTATTTTTTATTGTGAACAAAGATTTAGAAAAAAAAGATTCTTGCCACCAAAAAAGGAGGGAGACTATTCAATAATTCTGTCTCCACAAGCTCTTACCCCACTTTATTTTGTCTTCCTTCCCAATTTTTGGAGTTTAAACCTGGTAAGAAGAAAGACAGAAGCAGTGATGCTCAGCAATGGCTGGCCTTTTTTCACGGGAAACTTTATATCTGAGGATCTTATTGTATTGAATAAACTTCTTTCAGAAATAGAAGAAATGTATTTATGAAATGTGTTCAGACATTGTCAGCTCCCAATCACTAGCTTAAACTTGAAGTGGCTTCTAGAACCAGCAAATTGAGAGTTAACGCTTAAGATACCCTGATATCTATATATTTCTTTTCCCAGCTTAAAGAGAAGATAATGTTAACGCATACTCACTTAAATTTACTCATGGAGATTCTGAAGGAAGTGACTTCTGACCAGTCCAAGCCAGAAAACTGATCCAGAACCAAAGCATGAGTTTCAATGTCAGGCCTTACTGCGGTCTTCAACAATAGGTGCTGTTTGATCATTTCTTGAGAAAGACTGACTTCAAAAATCGATGAAAAATGTGGTTTATTATGTTTGCCTCTAGGCTGATTTTTCCAAATGATTTGTGAAGCTTTTTCTAGAAGATGAGAAATTAAGGAAGCTTCTGTCCAGGTTTCATAGTTATTTGCCTTATGAACTTATTTTAGCCCCTTAGCAGTTTCATAATACTTATTTCTGTAAACATCTTTAACTATAAATTTAGGGATTAAGAAGCAATGTCCTATGAATGCTCTGACCTAAAGATGTATGGTTGGTCTGAAAATAAAGTTGTACTTAATGCTGACTACTGTGATTCCTACATGGAGCAGTTGTTATATGAATACTGAGAATAATTTTTTAAATGTAAAATACAGGTGCATACATATTCTGTAGGTAATATTCAACAAGTTGGTTAATAGTTTTTTTCTCTTCAGTTCGAAACAGCTTAATAGGATAATGAAAAGAATAATAAAACATCAAACATTCACTGAAATGCTGTTTTCCCATATTTTGCTTTATATAGCATTTTGGCTCAGTAGCTTATATTATTCATTTAATAAATATGCTAGTTGCTGGGGATAAAAGGTAAGCAAAAATAGCCATTCTCCCCTCCCTCACAGAGCTTATAACCTAGTCAGAGATGGACATTCAAATAACCATACGAAGACATGTAAAATTACAACTAGTAAATGTTTGAAGAAAAGGACATAGAGCTATAAGCACATGTAGCAGGTAACTGACCTAGTCTGGGGGTCAACATAGGCCTCTGTGAGGAAGTGAAGTTTCAGCAGTAGTCTGAAAGATAAGTAGGAGTTAATAAGGTGGTGGAGGGAACAGCTTGTACAAAGGCTCTGTGAGGCCCCTAGAAGACCTGCAGGAGTCATGGTGGGTAGAGACCAGACCGTGCAGGGCCTTACTGGACTCCAGAAGGATGTTTGTTTCTATTTCAAGAACAGTGAGAAGCCCTTGAAGAATTTCAAAGGCCTCTGATAGGATCAGGTTTTCTTTTTCAGAACCTCATTATAGTTCTGTAGAGAATGAGTAGGAGTGACTGCCAGCCTACCACTAAAGGGTCTGACAATAGCACAATCAAGAGATGATACGGCCAAGCAGTAGTACAGACAAGTTAACTTGGTTCAGATATAGCTAGCAGATTTTTTTAAATAGCAGATTCTTAACATTTTATACAGTATTAAGGATATTTTCCTTAAAAGTATTTTAAACTGATTTGCTTTATGCATTTGAGTTGCAAAATTTGGTTTTGTAAGTAAGGATGAAGCCTCTGGCAATACCAGAAAATTAATACTATATTGAATCATCTTGGGGTTTTTATTTGTGCATGGGGGTATGTCTGCCTCAATTTATGTTCTTTATCTAAATTTAAAAGGTGTTCTTATGTGGCTATTTTCTTTAACCTCTGGATTTGCCTTTTTGGTAGACTTTCAATAGAAAATTAAATGCTTGAACTTGACATCAAATTAAGCTGGCTGGTTTTAAATAGATTTCTTTTTCCAATTACAAATTACATGCTCTAGAAAAACATGCAGATATAAATATGACAAAATAACGAGTGTACATTTCTTTCCATTTTTGAGCAACATAGTGTCCTAGGAAATGAGCAGGCTCTAGAACCAGACTATTTGGATTCAAATTGTGCATTGGGTACGTACTTATTAGCCGTGAACTTGAACAATATATTTAAATTTTTCTTGTAAAAGAGGGATTAAGAAGTAATGAGGGATATAGTGAGAATTAAAAACAAGTTAATGAATATAATGTAATTAGAGCAGTGTTTAGCACATAGTAAATGCTCAATAAATACTAGCTATTATAACAAGCATGCGGATATACACATATGAGACATAAAGGCAGTTTTTTTTTTTTACTTTTATTAGCATTTATTTGATACTAAATTTACTCCTGGGTCATAAGTTGTTGTTTTTCAGTTTCTTCTAGGGTATCTTTTTCTTCTGTGCAACCTCCTCTTCTAGTTTAGGAACAATCTGCTCTTTTTCAGTAAGGATCATTTCAATGACAAGGAGAGCTGAAGGGGTTAATCCGCCCATGAGCTCTGTAAATTCTGCGCAGCATCTCGGGAGCTTTGTTTACCTGGATGTGCTCAATGACTAGAGAATCTACATTTAAACCCTTAAGTTCAGCATTACTCTGCATTTTTAAGCACGTGTACCAAGAATTCATTCTTTTTAGGCCACCGATCCTGTGTCCAGCCCCACCCCTGCCAACTCCACCATTATAATGATGGAATGGCACACATTGCTTCTGTAAAGTGACATCCTTCAGATACTTGGCTTTTCGGATATGCATACCCTTGATGGCCTGGGCAGTTTCACGAGTGTTCTTGAAGTGAACACAAAGATTTGAACCTCTCAATTTGCATGATTTTGTGGGGTTTTCTGAGTCAAGTGAATAGTGAACCATTTTTGGACATCACCTCAGGCTGCTTACGGGAAGAGCCATAAAGGCAAATTTATGTTTAACATTATTCTGCAACCTGCTTTTCACACAGTGTCTTGAACAACTTTCTATACCAGCCCACATGCACATTCTTTTTTAGCACTTGCATATGGTTCAATGAATATATCAGAATTTAACCACTCTTATATTGGATCCTTGTATCTGCATATCTGTACTGATATTTCTATAGGAATGATTCCCAAAGTGGAACAGGGTCAAAGGGCATGTGCATTTATAATTTCAATATTATGCCTTATGTAAATGTTATACTGATACTTTCACAAATTCTTTTTCCCAATTACGGTTGACATTCAATATTTTATTAATTTCAGATCTACAGCACAGTGGTTAGGCATTTATATAATTTACAAAGTGATCTCCTTGATTAGTCTAGTACCCACTTGGCACTATACAATGGAGATGGGATTTATTATAATAGTTACTGTATTTCATATGCTGTACGAATGGTTGGCTTTTTAAACATGCTTTAGGTGGTATAAGAGCTCTGGGAGTCTAACAAAATCAATGATAGGTGGCTGATATTAACAGATTCTAAGGCTACTTTACTACAGTTTGATACCATTTAGTATTTTATATGTTGAATAGTAGTTTCAAAATTCCATGTAGTTATAAGAACAATAAAATTGCATATTGAAAATCCTCGAGTTGTACTTTTGAGATCCTTAACAGCAGAAACCATCTCCGTTATTGTAACCCCCAATATCTAGTGCAGTACCTGGCAGTGGAATATATCAGTGTATGTTAAATGAATAACAGTCTTATAGACCAAAAGAAGTATTACATAGTAGTCATGCCCCAAAAACCACATAGCTTTTGTCTATTTGACAATATCCTATCCCAAGGAAGTTTGTAATAGTTTATTTCATACTTGGAAAAAAAACAACTCCTTTCCTTTCCCCTGAATCAAGGATATATTGTTAAAACCTCTTTAGTTAACTTTGTCAACATCTAAATATTAAACATAAAAGGATCTTAAATGCTTTATATATTTCAGATAGGAAGGATTCCCTGCAATAGTTGTTGTTATTGTACTTAGCTCAGTATTTCCTTAGCAGAAACATTTATTTGCTCATAGACCTAGTAAGGTTGGCCTCAAAGGTAAAAGGGGAATGGTATAAGTTTAAATGGGATGCCCCTCTTTCTTCAGATGGCTGCCTGTATCCTTGGACTAGACCTGTGAAACAGCTGCAACTTGAGTATCAGAAAACCTGGGTCCTTTCTCCATTTCATTTTTGACATATGGAGCCTACATCAGCACAGGTCTGTGGATAGGTTCCTTTCCCATCTCTATTATTTACTGCATTATTAGAAATGACCCATTCCAAGTAACACACAGTGAAATTTTAGTGCATTCTCAGCCCATGCTGCTTTATTGCCAAAAAAATATATATATACACACACACATGCGTGCAGAGTTTCCAACTCTTAAAGCAGTTCCTTTTTACATCAAAGAATAAAAAAACTCTTCTAAAATCCCAAAGATGCATAGATTAAAAAGCAAACTGCCTTTCCTAAGACTTTAAACATTCAATGAAAATTTTTAACATCACATATACCAAAGGTGCAATGAAGATGCAAAAAGCAAGTAAAATCAGTGAGCAACAACTGTATTTAACAGCACAGTACATAAAAATCTATGTGAAGGGTACTCTAATATGAATATTTTTTACTTACAAAGGATGAGTGATTTTAGGGAAGCGCCAAGACAATTATTTTTAAGGACTGATGACAATATATTACAAGAATACCTTTTTTATCTCTCGGAGAAAAATGTATTTTTATCGATGGCATAGCATACCATCACCATGGGAGACAAAATCTTTTGAAAATTGTTAGTAACCTTAAGATATCTATTCTGACTTAGGTGATTTAGGAGTATGGGTTCCTGGAGAAATCTATAGTATTTGGTATAACTTTTAAAATGCCACAGGAGAAAAATGAGAAATCTTTATTGGATTCGTTGGTTGGCAGACGTTTTCAATGAATGGCAAAGAGAAAATTTACCTATGGGATGACATCTCACTTCCTGTATTTGAGTGGAGACCAAACCCTGCAATGGCTACAAGTCTAATTCAGTTCTTAACTACTGGAAAGTTACCATTACACTTAAATATTCCCAAAGGTATCCAGAGTGAACTCCCACAGCAAAGGAAATGAGGTTAAAATAATTTGGAAAAATTATTTTTCAACCTGGAAGGAGTCTAGTAAAAAACATCTAGTCTAATCCTGATTTATATTTAGGCCTCTTTCAGATATAATGAATTCCATTTGTACACTATTTGTCATAATCACTTGTAGTTGTGAGTTATTCCAAAGTCAGAAATCTTCTCAAAATTTTAAGCTACAATATTTTCTTCATCAAACAAGTAAATGGCAAGGTTTCCTTTTTTTCCAAAATGTGAAAACTTGCTCCTGTTTACCTAGTATCAAAATCTTTAGGCAACAAACTATGCACTCTGACCAAAATATCAAGAATAAAACTATTAAAAATAACAAAAAAATTCTTAATACAGTGACAAAAGACAAACCAAACCACAGATGTCATTATTTTCAGAACTATTTCCACAAAATGGAATGGTCTCCTTTGCTGTGGAGATCTTTTATGGCTGGTCAATACCAGTACTATACAAAAGTTGCCTAGTTATCTGAAAATCCTGGAATGTATGAAATACATGCATATTGCCTCTATTCATTTCCAAGACACTAGTTTAAAGAGATGCAAACTTAAGCTACATACACTTTGAGACAAACTCCATACCTAATTATTTCACAAACTCCACACCGGTATTCCCTACTTTCCTACCCTTTCTGAAACTCTGCACACCTTTCTGATTATTATAGACATAGCAGCTTATTTATTCAACATGCTTAGTTTGTGCCTTTTGTATTGTTTTAAAACATGCTTGGGGACTAATGGAACCAGGCAAGAGGTTAGAGGGTAAGCACTGTTATGCTCTATTACTGACAGTTTGAATGTGTTGTGGTTCCCCCTGTTTATCTTCTAGCTCCCATTTTCAATGGAAGTAAGATAACTTTTAATTAGAAAATGAAAAATAATCCAAACAATAAAGTCAAGCTATTTAAATCTCTATTGCTTCATTATTAGTAAATGCACATATATAATTACTAGTAACCACGTAACACTGGACATTTTCAGTCATGCATTAGAATATTAGTACTCTAAAATCAAAGTCATGGGCTTGCCACTATTGCTTGCACTTTCATCAGACCCAATTTTAATAAACATGCAAAGTAAACTCCTTGATTCAGATTACAAGAAATAACAAGGATACATGCAACTCCAACCAAAAATGTGGGTTAATAAAGTGATTGCTTAGAAATGCAGGCTGGTAGTCTACATCTATCACACTACTTCAGAATAGAGGTACAAAACACAAAAAGGGTTAAAATTAGGACCACTGTTCAGTTGTAAAAGGCTTAACTGCAAATCCTGGTCCTTTTGGGTAGAGAATGATGTAAAAACTCTGGGAAAAGAATCAGGAGATGCACAGTCTTCTTGAGCGGTAAGTTTTCTTGGCCATTTATTGAGTGCTGTATCGTAGAGAAGCATAGGTGGTGTAGGGATGGTGAAGATGCTCTTGAGCAGAACAGTTTTTCTGGTTCACATTAATGAGCATTACCTGCACAACTCCCTGGGGAAAAGGAGTTTACGAACAGCAGAGCTAATACAATGTAAACTCAAAAATGCCCTGAAATTTAGCATAGCCCTCTGCTTTTGAAAACTGTTGGCCAAGGGATCCTTCCAAATATGGTATAATTAATAGCCAAGCAATGTTCTGAATAAACAAGTAATTTGCTTGCACCAGCAGCACCATGAGAATGTAAACTCCTGGAGGCCAAGGGTCTCTTCATATTTTGCATATCACGGGTATACAAAAAGTAAACATGAGACCACAACATTGAAAAGTAACTGCATACTTTGAGACTACCAAAACTTGTAGTGCATTTCAGCATTTAGAACTATTAACATGGCCATCAAGGGTCATCTTTAATTGTTCTAATTAAACTGTTGACATCACAGTAATATGCAGTGGTGTCCTCATGATCATGCAAATGCCTGAATATTCCTGGTTATTCCAATGTCTCTAATACCACTGACGTACGTGTAGGATATATAAAGAGGAGCTATAATCAATTTAATATAGCCTTCTCCCTCTCGTTTGGAGTTGCCATATAAGAATTAAATATTCAAGAGACTATTTTCTTAGATCTACTTCATTTTTAGTCCCCCTACCCCCACCGTTGGAAAACAGGGAACACAGACCGAATCTTTTCTGGGATTTTCAAGATGCTAAATGGACAAGTTGACATGAAGTAAAAGGGAATAAGAAGTCACCCTTATTCCACTATTGTACCCTGATGTGAGCTGTACGATTCCTCAGATCAAGAAACTAGTTTGCTAGGTTCTTCTTAAAATAAGCAGTCACAGATCATAGGCCTATACTAGCAAATCTACTTTAGACAAGGTTAAAAAAAAAAACCCAACATATTATCTTTGGTTATTCCCTTCAATCCTTTTGTTTTATACCTTTAAATTCTAACTCCCCTAAACTAACCATAGGCATAAGGAAAAGCCAGCAATCCAAGTTATTGGTGTTTTTTTTAACCCTAAATACACAAACAACAAACTTTTCCTTTTTAAAAATGCACCCAGAAATGAATGGAGAAAGGGTAGGTGACAAAGCAAAAAGTATGCTATTAGCCTGATGTTAAAAGGAACATCATAAGCAAAATCCCCACATGACAGCTTCAGTGGGGCTACATTAGGAGTACATTTGTTTCCAGGTTAAGCACTAGAAAAGTTTCATTCAATGGCTCTAACCCTCTGCTCTAGGAAACAAATAGGGTCTTGAACTTACGCAAAGGTTGCTATTTCTCATACACTGATATAGTCATATACATTCATAGTTTTAAAAGTACCTTTTTATATGCTCTTTATCTAGAACATTTTTTTTTGTGCAACTGTTAATCACAGAGCCTCACAAGCTCAAGTAGTAATACTTATTCTACTGTACAACCTTGTTAATGCAGCCTATTATACATGCAAAACTTATTGCTACCTCTTGAAAATTATTCATTTTATGGCTTTTTTTTTTTTGCAATAGGAAATATCCTTTCCTATATACTGTGCTATTTTGCATTCATTACCTATTCAGAGGTATTTAAAAAAATATTTAAATGCTTTTCAGAAATGGATTCTCACAGGCACTAAACTACTTGAGCCAAGAGTACAACTATTGAAAATACACTATGAGAATCTGAACCTGGGTCCCTGGAGATCTGCTGCCAAAGAATCTACTTATCTAAGCTTGCTTCTACACATGAGACTCACCACATTAAAATAGTTTTGAATTTCCTATTATGCTAACTGCACAATCTGTGTCAATAAATCCTGAACTCTCCTAATACCAATTTTTAAATAATCACCTCAGAAAGCTGCCATTTCCAAGTTTGCAAGGCAGCTTTTAGAAGGAGGAATTTCTTTTCTACAGAAAGCTATCTTATACCTTCAGAATAAAAACCTTTTATGTCTACAAGGAAAGAAAAAAGTGAAAGCTGTTTAAGGTGGCTTACTGTAACCAAGCAAAAGTTATTTATTACATGGCAACCTGGGTAGGCTCCATTGGCTACTTTTCAAATTCTCATGAAAAGGCCTGGAATCCTATCGATACACAATTCAGATTTAGAAAGAGGAAAAACCTGCACAAATTAACCTAAGACTACTGACCAGTGTTCTTCCATTAACACGTAGCATGCTGCAGACAGGAAATGTAAATGGTGTGCAGATTAGAAAAGCACTCAGTTAAGCAATTAACATAGCATATTACTAAAAAATGCAAAATATACTTTCTTGATGCAAAAGGAGTAGGACAAATAATAAACCTATAAGACATACAATGTGTAAACAGCATAAGAACTATCTAACCTCAAACTGAGAGCAAAGCGGAATCAGGAAATGGGGCCTTATTTTGATTTGAGGTTTCAAAAGACAAAAAGCTTGAACATCCTCAAACACAGTATTTCATATTGTAACCCCACATTTCTATTCATAAATGAGTCTTTCTGGGCTAATCTCCTTTCCCCAGGGAGAATATCATGGCTACAGAAACTTATGAAAAGAGAAAAGGTATAGATTTTCCACTCTTTTTACACTATTGGTTATTATAACAATTCATCCTGAAGTTTAAATAATTACTAGGCTCATGCACTAACCCCTAATATGGCACTACAAATATGCTACCAAGCACTAATGCTTACAAAACTATACACATCTCAAAATGGAAGACATTGGTGATTTTGTTGTTCTTCAACAACTTGTAACATTTGTCCACAAGTATTAAAATATACATATATATATATAGTTCTATTGCACATATCCCATTTTTAACTTTTTAAAAGATAAACTTCCAGCTAACGTAGATGAGCAAAAGGAAGTAAACACGGCTATAGATCGAGGCACAGTCCTGCCTAAAATTATAGCTTTTGCCATTAAGAAGTGGACCAAAATAGACCAAGAAAAAAACAAAGATGTATTTACATAAATGCTGTGCAAGTACAACTGGAATATACATTTTGTTAAATGCCATCTGATGACAAGATGCAAAAACAGGAGCAAGCATTAAATGGTGGTTCTCTTAGCTGTGAATGAAAAAATATAAAGCAACTGGAGAAGCTGAGTGTGATAATAGATTCAAACAAGTGGGCCAGAGATGGTTTCACTGGTGCTGATAGTACAAGGTCTCTATTTCCTGCCAAATGATCCTACCCAAAAAGTTGCCAAAAGGACACAGGGAAGATGAGTAACAGATAATTGAAGGTACAAATTCTCCATAATAATCTCAATGTACCAATGGAACCCATGTATGTAAGTTCCATTTTATCTTTAACAATTCCAAAATACTAAAACATGAGGAAGTGGCTAGGAAGTTACTTAAGTTACCTTTACCCAGTTTTCTGCTATGTTTTACCATTCAGTAACTGCCCTCCATTGAAAGAAATATTTTACTTATATAATTATTTTACTAAAACCCTTTTTATGCCAATTCAAATTGGCTGACCAATTAAACTAATCGTGGAATGTGTTCAACATTTCTCATTTTTGGCCATTTCTATTATTCTCAAATCTTGGTACATCTGGCCTAAGTTTTCAGGATCACAGCATGTATGGCATTGGGCAAACATTCCCCAATTACAGAGATGATCTAGGGTGATTTGTTCTTAAATTCACCTAAGAAGTTTTAAATTCTCTACTCAAAGACTCAAAGTTTTCATTTTTCTTATGTAACACCTGAACAATTTATACACTGATCCTCTGTTGATTTTTAAGCAAGAACAGCTTTACACTATATAGTCTGTTCATCATATAGTATTAGTTTCAAGAGAAAGTAAGATCCATATTTTTTATTGGAACTATTTTTCTTGTTTGAGGTTTTTTTTCACAACCTAAATTTCTTCTAAATCTACACTGACCCAACCACAAGTTTGAGAACATTGCTTCTTAGGCCCATTCTGTGATGAGAAAGTTCAGTTCCAACTGGGGAAAGTTACCTGAGTCCCAGCCTTTTCAGCTTAATATTACAGCTACAGTCTAGAAAAATATATCCAAGTATAGATTTTAGGTCAAAAGAAAAAAGTTATTTATGCTTTCACAAAAAAAGAGAGCTACAGAATGTAAAACACCATAAAATGAGGTGGAGCTGCATAAGGCATTTTCACTTATTTTTCTTAGAAGGGAATTGTATTGAAACTTCTCCTTTCTTCCCCATTCCTCCAGGTCCAGTGTTGAAGGAAAGATATACTGTAGGGTCCATCACATCTTCTGAACAGAAAAACCACTTATGCCACTTTTCTTCCAGCCTTAGCAGCATGGAAAACCAAGTCTCAAGTGCTATATAAAACTCCACAAAAAAGAATGAGAGGTGAATACGGTTCCATCGCTAGACTCAAAACTTTTGTTTCCTTTTACTAACCTTTCACTAAACCCCAAAATGCATTCACGGGTTAGCATTTTTCTGCATAATGCAGGTTCTTCCTTAGAAGAACAACAACGACAAAAACGTTTTAAAATACCAAATGTCCAAAGTCTTCTAAGAACAACAGTTCCTTCTCTAGGAGAAAAATCCCTCTTCTTACCAAAAATTTGGACTTACGTATGTAAAAATATTTATAGAGACTCATGGTTTATTCACATATGAAATTAACCTTGATATTTTTTCTTCCTTATGCTTCTTTATCACACCAAATGTTTTATTGCAAAGTTGGACCTTTGTTCTTATCCAGTTAATCGATGTCACAGGATGAACCAGGATTTAGAGGAAAAAATGCAATTTTTTAGCATTTCTTTCATATCAAATTTCAGTACATACTTGGAATTCGCTACTGCAGTCTCAACTGTGCTTATCATGATAGTGGCTGAAACTGGAAGACATTAAAGAAACCCTGATGTCATCCATAGTTGCTATTTACACAGTCTTCTTGTTGGGAACAAAAGGTAAAGAATTCACAAATACTACCATCTAAGCACCTATTTCAAATCAGCCTTGAGCTTGCAAAATAATTTCTTTACAAGTAAGCAAACTGCAGCAGAAGACACATGTCAGTTGCTTCTTTCTTCCTGGAGAAGTCGGCATAATGACTGCATCCTAGCAGTTCTCTGTGTTGAACTGAGAGGCGGAAGAATAAAGAAAAGCAGTCTTTTCCAATCCAAATCATGGAGGTAAAGTATAGAGAAGGGATATCCACACTTCAAGATTAGGCAAAGTGGCTGGATAAACGAAGGACCCACTCCATGAAACAACAGAGAAATACCTGGAAATACAAAATAAATTAAAAACAAGAAGGTTAAAATAGGTTTCTTCATGAGCTTACTTTTAAAAATATTTAACACATAGAAAGAAGACAATATTTTGGATTACACATTGTATCAAAGAAAATGTCCAACCATAACACCAAATTTAGTATCCTCATCAGAGAAGCAGTAGCCAGAAAAAAAATACATAAACATGGAACAAAAAGCTAGATTTATACAAAAATTTTAAAGTGAGATATACACATCAATTTCCTGTTACACAAATAGAGTGATGCAACTCCAAGTTTTACAGCCATAATCCTATATAAAATATTTGTGTTTAAAAGCAGTATTATACTCCAAATTCGATGTCTAATACTTATTACTCAAAACCATATGAATCATCTTACTCTGAGTTATCTTCAACTATATAATACCAACACTGAACACTAAAAATTTTATAAAATATAAAATGCAAGCATGTAGAAACATTGCTGCTAAACATAATACTTATAAAACTGCAAGTATCTGCAAAAGTAAATCATATAAAAAGGACAAATGTTGTATAATTCCACTTATATGAGGTACCTAGAATAGGCAAATTCAAAGAGAAAGTGGAATAGAGGTTACTAGGGTCTGGGGGAGGGGGAATGGAGAGTTATTGATTAATGGGTACTGCGTTTCTGTTTGAGATGATGAGTAAGTTCTAGAAACAGACAGTAGTAAAGGTTATACAACAATGTGAATGTATGTAATGCTATTGTACATATAAAAGTGGTTAAAATGATAAATTGTATGGTATAAGTATTCTATAATAAAAAATAAAAAATCACAGATACATATCAAAAGCTTAATAAGTTACTCTGGCTTGCAAACATGGCTGATAGCGATTAGCTAACTAGTATTCCTACCCTTCCATTTTTAATATGTCACATATTAAAAAAACACCTCAACTCTAAACTGAATTTGAATAATCTCTTTTGCTTGAAAGTGAGAGTTCTATGAGCAGTGAACACACAGTGCACTATATATATGCCTTACTGTTGAACTGTATACCTGAAACTTATGGATTTCATTAATCCATCTCACCATAATAAAAATAAATTTAAAAAATTAAATTAGAAAAAAAAGAAGACAAGACAGTTCTGATTCAAAACCTATGAAAGGTGTCTACAGCCATGCCACCCTGAGCACACCCGACCCTGTCTGATCTCGGAAGGTAAGCAGGGTCGGGACTGGTTAGTACTTGGATGGGAGACCACCTAGGAAGACTGGGTGCTGTAGGCGTAAAATAAAAACAAAAACAAAACTTATGAAAGGCAAATGTAAATTAACTCAGAATCAAATCAAGAGGAAGTGAACTACAGAATTTGCATTTATTGCAAAAGCAGCAGTGAAGTAAAAAGAAAAAACCGATGATCCACAGACAGGCCTTTAGAACTTTATGGGCAATGGGGATATTTCATTACATAAGCTTACTCAGGCTAATTCAAAGCTTGCACAGCCACTAAACTGTTAGGCAGTTCGATTCTAAAGAAAAGATAATTAGCATAATGTTGAGAGGAAACAAAGATACAGGCTAGTTCTTTCCAGAATATATAAAGCAAACGAGCACCAAAGAAACCTTTAAAAGAGCACATTTTCTTAAAGAAACCTGTCTAGATTCCTTTAAAAACATATTCCTTCAGTAGTATCAATAAAATGCATACATTCATCATATATAAACTTCATCTCCCAAACAATCTATATCTTAGTATTAGGCAATAATGCTAGAATATCATAAGCTTGTATTTTCTTCAAAATACCCAATTTCACATCTCAGACATGACTATCCAATTTTATCCATTCTAAACACACACATATATGTATCACTAACTATAGTAGCTCAGTATAAAAGCCAAAGTTCGGAGGTGGCTCCATAGTGTAGTGGTTAGCACGTTTGCTCTACACGCAGAAGGGTCATGGTTCGCACTCCCGGTGGAGCCACGGACCATACCATACCCCGGGTGCACCATGAGTGTGTGTGAGAGGAGACGCCCCGCCTTCAGAGTTCTAGTTCTTAAGGGGAAATGGCAACATCCATAGGTCAGGGGTGGAAGGGCGGGTGGAAGGGTGGGTGGGGGTGGGGGATTAAAGAGAGGGGAAAAAAAAAAGTAAAAGCCAAAGTTCTGACCAAAGAATGACCTATGATTCCCCATAAAATCTACACCATCCCCTTACACTGTATCTCTTCTGACCTCAACTCTATCTCTTACCCATCATGGGCTCCAACCACAGTGGACTGCTTGTTCTTCCTGGAATGTCAGGCATGCTCCTACCTTATAGCCTTTTTACTGGTGTTCCCTTTGTGAGAAGACTCTTACCTCAGGTATCTTCACCTTTACTCCAATGTTATTTTCTTAATGAGGACTACTTTGAGCCCCTCTTTAAGATTATACTGTCCTCCCATCCTACTCACAGATACACTGCCACTATCCCCCTTTACCTTACTCTCTACTTCTCCTTTTATCCATAGCATATAACATTAATCTACTACATAAGGTACTATGTTTCTCATTTACTGTCTTGTCTAAAATGTAAGCTCTGTCTGGAAGGAACTTTTGTTTACTGATGAATCCCAAGTACTTAGAATAGGGTGTGACCCATGGTAAGCACTCTATAAAAATATATTGAATAAATGAATGACTAGCAGGGCTCTTAAATATACTTAGCCAACATGACTTAAAATTTAAATAAAGATTATAGAGTTAGGTGAAGAAACTACAACTATGCACTGATCTACAAAATTTACAAATAGAGCCCTGTAAACTTGGTACCTAACTAGGCACTTCTGGGTCTCTGTAGCTACCTGCTTAGTGCTGTTGATTACATAAAGTCACTTTGTATTAGGAAATCTGACTTATTGGGAGGATGGGAAGGGCAAACAACTTTCAATTTAGCACTTGGGCTAGCTAGATCTGAGTCAATGACTTTGTGTGGTGTCAGACTCCAAGATGGTCCCCAGTTATTGCTGTCTCCTGGTATTCACGTTTTTTTAAGGTCCCCTCTAACAAAGCATCAAGGTTGATCTATGTGACTACTGTATAATAAAGAATTTAACTGGCTTTTGTCCTTGAGAGGGAGACTCCAAATCTTTAGAATTTACAGTAAATGAGCCAGCATAAATTAAACAACACACTCCAAAATGACCAATGGGTCAAAGATGAAATCACAAGGTAAATCAGAAAATATCTTGAGAAAAATGAAAACAAAAACACAACATACCATAACTTATGGGATGTAGCCAAAGCAGTGCTAAGAGGGAAATTTATAGCTGTAAACGTTTACATTAGGAAAAAAGTTATCAACAACTTAACTTTACACCCTAAATAACTAGAAAAAGAAGAAACTAAATGCAAAGCTAGCAAGAAAGAAAAAAATAAATATATGCGCTAAATAGAATAGAAAACAGAAAAATAAATAAAATCAGCAACACCAAAAGTTGGTTCTGACTGAGTGGCAATCCATGAATTTGTAGCCAGTTGGTCAGAAGTTTGGGTGGCCTGAGAATCCTCCAAAATGCAATTGGCATCTAACATGAGGGCAGTCTTGTTAGAGACCATGCCCTTTGATTTGTGGGGTCTGCATTAACTCCAGATGGTGTCAGAATTTTACTGAAGTACACTAGTTAGTGTCAAAATAGTGACCAACAGAATGAGGAGAAAGTGATAGTGAGTGACTTCTGAGGCAAGGTCACAATGGATGGGGCTGTGACTTTTGCCTGTTCTCCTGAGAGAAGCCAGCTGCTGTATCATGACGACACTCAAGCAACCCTGGAATAGGCTGACATTGGAAGGACTGAGGCTTTAAATTATCAGCAATAATTTGCCAACCATGTGAATGAGCCACCGTGGACTCAGTTCAGAAGACTGCCACCCCAGCCAGTATCTTGACAGCAACCTTATAAAAGACCCCAAGCCAGAAAGCCCCAGCTAAGCTACTCGCTGATTCCTGACACACAATCTAAAAGAGTTTCTGTCATAAAAGGATGGTTTTTATCAAGGATGTTGAGCGTTTTCTGAGATAAGATTTTTATCCTTCATTCTTTGATGTATCACAATGATTGGTTTATGGATGTTGAACCATCCTTGGATTCCTGCAGTAAATCTCACTAGGTCATAAAGTATCTCAATGTAATAAAATAGCCCAGAAATAAATCCACACCTATATGGTCCATCAGTCTGACAAAGGAGACAAGAATATACAATGTATACTATAAAGAGATGGTAAAGATGCTGGGAATGTTATTTGGCCATAAAAAAGAACAAAATCTCACCATTTGCGACAACACAAGTGGATCTAAAGATTATTATGCTAAATGAAATAAGTCAGACTAAGAAAGACAAATACTACATATGAGCTCACTTATTCTATGTTGGATCTAAAGAACAAAATAAATGAACAAAACAGAAACAGACTCATAGATAACAGAGAACCAACTGATGGTTGCCAGAGAAGAGGCGGGCTTGGGGGAGTCCAGGTGAAAAAGGTGAAGAGATTAAGAAATACGAAGTGGTAATTCCAAAGTAATCATGGAGAATCTACCTTAGAGAATGCAGTCAATAATACTGTAACAACTATGTATAGTGCCAGCTGGGTACCAGACTAATCATGGGGATTACTGCACAAATTTTATAAATGTCTAACTACTGTGCCGTACATCTAAAACCAATAGAAAAGAACACTGACCGCCAACTGTCATTTTTAAAAATCATTAAATTGGGGAGGAAAAAGCAAAAACAAGGGGGAATTATAATTCTTGGCAAAAGAACGTAAGACACGCTGCCTACCAGAGACTCGTGTCAGACTGAAAGACATGCACAGACTGCAGGTAAAGGGATGGGAAAAGATATTTCATGAAAATGGAAACAAAACAGCAGGGGTAGCAATATTTACATCAGACAAAACAGGCATTCAAACAAAGGCAATGAGAGACACAAAGACATTTCATAACGATAAAGGGATCACTCCAAGAAGATATAACCCTTGTAAGCACTGATGCACCCAACATAGGAGGACCTAAATAAAGCAACTATTGACCAACATACAGGGAGAGAGCGACCATAATACACGCACAGTGGGAGACTTTAACACTCTGTTGACATCAATAGACTGATCTTCCAGACAGAAAAGTAACTAGGAAACAGCAGTATTCAGTGACGAACTAGACCATATAGACTTAATTGATATTTTTAGAGCATTTCACCCCTAAGCACCGGAATATACAATCTTATCAAACACACATGGAACATTTTTCAGAAAAGACTACACGTTAGGCCACAAAAAAAGTCTCAATAAATTTAAGAAGACTGAAATCGCATCAAGAGTCTTCTCCAATTACAATGGTATGAAACTTAAAATACAAGAAAACACACACACACACACACACACACACACACACACACACACACAAATGGATGCCAAATAAGATGCTACTAAACAATGAATAGGTTAACAAGATCAAGAAATCAAGATACCTTGAGACAAATGAAAACACGATGACTCAGAATCTACGGGACACACTGAAAGCAGCCCTAAGAGAGAAAGTCACAGCAATACAGCCTTAACTCAGGAAACAAGAAATGTCTCAAAAACGATCTAACCTTCTACTTAAAGGAACAGAAAAGGAAGAACAAACAAAGAAGGACAGAAATATAATGAATCATTAATGAATACTTAGAACAATTTTAGGCCAACAAATTCAACATGCTATAAGAAACGGAGCAATTTCTAGAAGCGTGTAACCTTCTAAGACTAAAACAAGAAGACACAGAAAATCTAAACAGACCAATTACTACCAATGAAATTGAAGCAGGCATCAAAAAACTCCCTACAAATAAAAGTCCAGAATCAAATGGTTTCACAGGTGAATTCTACCAAACATTTAAAGAATTAATACCTATCCTTCTTAAACTATTTCAAAAAACTGAAGAAAGAAGAACTCTTCCCAACCCATTTTACAAAACGAGCATTGTCCTGAGACCAACACCAAACAGACATCTTGGCAACAATGAAACCTACAGGCCAATATTCTTGATGAACATGCATGCAAAATTTCTCAACAAAATATTAGCACACTGGATTCAACAATACATTATAGGATTATACTCTATGACCAAGTGAGATTTATTGCATGAATACAAGGGTGGGTAATCTGTTACATATCAATATATAACTAATACACTTTGCTTCCTCTAAGAACAAGAAGAATGATAATATCATGAGAGTTAAATATGCCTTTCTTACTTTGCTATGTAAATAAATTCAGAACACATTTCACAAAATACAATGGATATCAGTGTCACTCAAATTAAGTTTTTAACTGTCTTATTAAAAAAAAGTGCTGCGCTTACTGGACAGTTCCTATCCCCAGATATAGACTATACTAATGTAAAATTAGTGCCTGAGCAAAAATTTAACTTCTTAGTCATTTACCAAGTATTTATTAAGTGCTTCCTTTCTTTGAATATTTTAAATTATTTACTTGAAAGGTATCAAATGCATATGACAGAAAAAGGTACTAGAAGGTATACAGTGTTTTATTTTTTGCATATCCTTTTAGATATTCAACAACTACATAATGTCTGTATAAGTAGATTTATTCCCTCCCACAAATGACAGCACACTATACACCTTATCCTGCAACTTGCTTTTCAATTTAATGTATATTAGAGATCATTCTCTATCAGAATTAAAGCTACCTTGTAGGTTCAGAAGCACTTGCATTTATTTACATCAGTTTCCTATAGCTCAATATTTAGATTGCTACCAATATTGTGCTATACCAATGTCAAATTTCTATTACTGTGTATCTAGACTTAATTAAGGTTCTACATACAAGCAATAAAGCCTCTGCTCTAAAGGCATATAATAAGCCTATCACCTAAAGGGCATTTGGCCCCCAAAGTTTCTATTCCTTTTCTTAATACTGGGGGTGGGCGGGAATATATATATATATGGTTGGAATTTAACTTTTTTCAACTTTTTAAAATTGTGGTACAATACAGTTAACAGAAAATTTATCACCTTAACCCTTTTAAAAAAGTTCAGTGGTATTAAGTACATTCATATTGTTCTGAAAATATTACCACCACCATTCTCGGTCTTTTTATCTTACAAAACTGAAACTCTGTACCCATTAAAAAAACTCCCCATTTTCCCTCCCTGGAGCCCCTAGCAACCACCATTCTACTTTGTCTCTATGATTTTGACTAAGTATCTTATATGAGTGGTATACAAGATTTTAATCCTTAAAGCAGTCTTAGTTTGAATGATTTTCATATAATACGATCATGGTATATGACTAAGTAGATGTTATGGGTTGAACTGTGTCCTCCCCAAATTCATATGTTGAAGTCTTAAGCCTCAGTACCTCAAAATGTGACCTTACTTGAAATAGTCACTGCAAAAGTAATTAGTTAAAATGAAGTCATAGTGGAACAGGGTAGGCCCTAATCTAATCCTACTGAATTTAGGACACACCCACTCAGAATACCAGTGAAGACTGGAATTATGCTGCCACAAACCAAGGAACTACCGAAAGCTAGGTCTGGAACAGATCCTTCCCTTCGCCTTCAACACTTTGATCTTGATGTATGATTCCCAACACTATGAGACAATTTCTGTTGTTCTAAATCACTCAGTTTGCGGTACTTTGTTATGGCAGCACTAGGAAACTAATACAGTAGGTATGAACCCTATTTTGCAGATAAACTATTGTCAGTTATGAAATAAACAAATATCACCTCTTGCTCTTTAAACAGAACTTATTCTGTGGTGAATTCAGAAGATATCAACACTTGGCACAGAATAGACTCATACCTAGGAATATTAAAGGTATACTGAAATGCTTTAGAAATTGAAAGATTAAAATATCAATATTTGTCTATAATTAAAACTTAAGTGTATATATTATAATATTTGCCTATTAACATTTTATCAGTTGAACTTCAATCTAATTAAATTGGTATTTTTTCTTTATCCAAAAAAAATTATTGGTTTGGGCAAATGGTTGTTTTTCTTTCTTTTTTATACTTAATTCATTGCTTTTGCTGAAAAGGCTTAGCTTAAATATCAATAATTTACAGTCAAATTTGATGTTTGTCTTCAGTTAAAGCTAACGGTTTATTGTTCCACTTCTTTCTAGCTATTATTAAACTGCTTAAACAGTATTTGGAAGTATTACCCACTATTTTACTCACTTGTGAAATCCTGAGTTCAGAATTTTGTTTTCTTTCTGAGATGAATATAAAAGTACCTAAAAGTCAAGGAAAATGTTTTTCCAATGATAGGGAAAAATAAAAAGAACATTACAAAAAGGATACAGCTTCCACTTGTTATATGCACTCATGTGCAAAATTATTCAAATGAATCAAGCTATTCTAAAAAACACTAGCAAAAATAATTCAGAAGAAACGATCAGAAGTTTTTCCTCTACCTGCACTGGTATTAATTTTATAAAGATGTCAAAAGTCTTGGAGCAGTGGTTCTCAAGTTTTTATGGAACACTGTCCCCTCTGATGAGGATGCTAAGGACCCTCTTCTCCCCATAAAAGACCTCTTTTTTAGTATAGATGACCACTTCCTTCTTGTTTGTAAGGTATGAAAAATGTTCTCTTCCTTTCCTCTGCCCCCTTTTTTCTTCTCCTAGATGAAATTAAAAAACTACTCCCAACAAAATCAACAGAAAGGTCTTATTTGGAACTGGTTCTTTACCTCGTATTTTCAGTTCTGCTACAACCAGGGCCAGCAAAGAGCATACTAGAAACATTCATTTGTATTATATGTCATTTGAACTGGGCCCAACTAACATGCCAGTTTTAAACGGATTTCACCAATTCATAAATCTAATAACCGGAACCTTTCCCAGAATTTAACTGAAAGACCGAGTGAGGGGTTATAACAATCCAAATTACAACGAGATACCCCGTAATGTTAAACAGAAATCGAATACAAATGCCTGACAACACTTTGCAAGCCACATTACCCAAATTACGTTCTAATAATTCCCCAAACTCATTCTCGACATAAAAAATAACTAAAAATTGTACACTGACTTCTTTAGTTCTGCATAACAACGGTAAATTCTACCGAGACTTATAGAGTCAGCCGAGATTAACAGGCCATTAGGCAATTATCAGGTCGTACAAGGACAAAGCTGCTTACTCAAATCTTAAGTTGGAGAGGTAGGAGTGGGAACGAATAAATATATTAAGGGTAGCAAAAGAACGTGAAACATACACAGACTCAAATTAAAATCATGGGGTGTACGTGTTAAACAAAATCTCAAGGGCAACGGACCAGAGACACAAAATACTGCGCCGCGGTAGGCCTAGATTGATACCGGGGCCTCAGGCAAAACAGTGACCACAAAGCCGTGAGGCGAGGACTATAATCAATAAAAGATATTCTTCGAAAGGTAAACCGATGGCCAACGCAGCTGCTGCCAGACGTACACTCGCGTGGATGCAATTACCGGGGGAATTAGCCGGCAACCGAAGGCATGGTACTAAGACGGAGAGCGGCGCGTCAGAGACAGAGCGGTGATCCGACAGACCCCCAAAGGCGGGTGCGGCCGCCCTGGGACAGCTCCGGCAGAAACCCACATTGGCCGATGCCCGCGCCGGCTGCAGGAAGGCTCCGCGCGCTCCCGTACCCTGTACTTCGCCGGGTTGGGCTACGCCACCACTTACTCGTTCCCCCGTCACTGGCCTTCTAGGCTTACCTCGCACGAGCCAGCAGAGGCACTCGACTGCCTCAGGTCCGGCCCACCCCGGCCCACAGGCCGGAACGCCACAAACCCCGTCACTCCGCCATCTTTGCTCCTTCCCAAGGCCGCCAACCCTGCGGCGGCCGTTTCCACAAGCCCCGCCTCTGCTGCTGCTCTTGGGTGCTGATTGGATGATGATTTGCGGAGGCGCGCTCTCCTTCCGTTGTAAGTTGGTTAGAATGTATGTCAATCGATAGAGAAGTCCTATTCTTTCCATCCTTTTTGTTGGATTGGGTCCCAGGGTTGAATAGGGAAAAATGCTTTGGTAATTCATTTGTTAGCGATGTAAAATTATTTCCGCGTAGGAGCAGTGTTACTTTGTGGCAAGGTAGTCTGGCTGGGTCGCATGCCTATTTTAAACCACCGATAGGTTAAACTATACTAATTTCATTCTCAGGCCCTGGCGTTTTTAATTCTGAGCATAACACGACACCTAGGCAAACAATATAATAGCTCGTTTGTCTTCCATCCAGGATGTTGGCAGGGTCGATTGATTACTAAGTCGGTTACTCAAATATTAAAATACTTCCACATTTGCTCAAGAGCAGCCATTGTCCCAAACCTGAGTTTCTCCTCCCCTGCCCGACTCTTTACTCAGGACTCTCCTAGACTTACCTTCTAAGCAACTGAAGGGTTTATTGCACAGCATTGCAGAGGATCTCCAGGACTCTGCTCCAGCCCTACATTCTGATTGGTCAATGCAGCAGTAGTAGTGGAATATTTTGAAAACCACCCCAAACACAGGTATTTTTCTTCCTGGGGCCCAGGCAACTAAGGAAGGACCAAAAACAAAACCATAAAATAGTCAACTAAAATAATAGACATTTTCTCATTTACTTCCTCTTAATAACCATATCTGTTCACGTTTAAAAATTCTGCATATATACCTGTGGGTGTTCCTAAAAACGAAAACAATTATAAAAAAGTTTTATAAAATACTGTTATATCTACTTGGAGAACCTAGTCATTATATTATGAATTAACAAGCAGAGATTCTAGATCATCTAAGTAAACCTCTTTTAATTTAGGAATTCTGCAAGGTCCCTGGCAAAAATGGTTATTCAGAATTGTGCTTAAGCCTGTGCAGAGACTGCTGGGTGCCCCGAGTGTCCTTCTACCTTCTTAAGAAAAGCGATATTTTCCAGGCTACCTCACAATAAGGTGTGACCAGGTGACTAATCACGTAAAAAATGGTCATTCAAGATTTTGCCTAGCAACCAACCACTAGAGAGTACACTAGTTTTGGGGATATCTTTTTCTTCACTTGAAAAATTGTAATTATTAGGAAATTATTTATAATTAGAATAAGCTGGAATTTGTCAACCTATCACTTCCAACCATCGTTAATAAATCTGTATAAAGTTTAGCATGTCAGGCACTGATTTAATCCTCACAGCAACCTATGAGGTTGGTACTGCCATCATCATCATCATAATCTTTACTTTATAACTAAGGGAAAGGACATATGGCTTATGATTTCAAACTTGAAGGTGATTGAATTATATAAAATTCTTATAAAACACAGACAAAATCAAACAAGTTATATTGTTTTAACCACAAGTGTTTATTGATGGATAGAATACAGTTTTAATGGAACGATAAGGCACAACTGTGGATTAAAACAGTTTGCTATACAGCCAAAGGGAAGAAAAAGCCATAATCTTAGGAATTTTAAATATGCAAGTCAAGGAGCCTTTGAAGTACTTCTCTAACAAATCAATGTCAGATTATTCTTCCCTTTACACAATTCCTATATTATATCATTTGATCACAAAGTCAGACTGATACTTCATCAAGAATTCCTCAGTCATTTATACTTAAGTTATCTAGCCTGACTACTGCTCTGTTCCCCTCTTTCCAATCCCTTTGTGGTGTTTTTTGTTTTAGCAGTTCCCTTCTGAAAGTATTGTGTATACATCTTGGATAGCCTTCCAAAGCAAGGAAACAAGCCAGCAAGCAATGAGTCAGAAAATCAGCTAAGGGCAGATATAAGAATGAACAGACTCATAAATGACCAACATTAGGACAACAGCCTGATTCAATGAGGTCTACATTTAGCTGACTTAGGCAGAGAAGTTGCTCTGGCTCGTGCAAAGGCCTGTAATGCCACCTCAGGTTATGCTACCAATGCCAGACCCCTCGTTTCTAAGGGATTAGCAGTGGTCTGAGAGGAGCTAGGAAGTCAGTGTAACTAGGCAGCTAATGATACAATACATTCAATGCTTTGGACCTGTATTAAGGGCTGACTATGGCTTCCAGCATTAACATTTGCCAAATGTAAAATTCATAGAGAATTTTGTACAAAACTTCAAGACACTGAGGACAATCTTTAAATCTTTTGGACTGGGATAGTTAGGCACTTCCATAACACTAATCTTTCTACCTAGAAATGTGAAGTGAGAAACATTCCAGGGCACATAACACTGAGGTATAAACCATGCTGCAGAGGTGGGAATACGTGAGGCTTTTAGGGTGCCCAGCCTTCTTGTTCAAAAAGCCACGAGAAAGTCCCCAAGCATACTGTCAGGGCAGCCATTCTGGTGGTATTGGTGTCCCCAAACTAAGCCAACCTGCCAGCATGTGGCTATTTTCTGAAAAAACAACACTGTACTATTAAAAGTAGCCATGTAGGTATGTATGTTGAGAATCAGAAGCCAGAGGTAGAGCGATCTGGGCAAGCCACCGAAAAGACTTGGCTCTACATCTCTCAACAAGGCCACCACCTTTCAAGAAGAACATCTCTAGCCCACGGCCTTTTGATGACACAGCAGAGTGCAAGGGACCAAGAGATGGTCTCATTCTTCTGAGAGCAGTGTTGTTATCGAAAAGCTCCTGGAAAGGCAACATCCCAGAGACCATTCAAGAGTAACAGTAGATTAAAATCCTTCAGACCACCAAACTATCCTGCCAAGTCAGAAATTCATTGAACAGGCATAGCTTGGAGTGCCAAATAGAACAGAGGGGGCTGAAGCTTAATAAAAAGCAGAGAGACAAAGACTAAGTGAATGGTGTATTGGGTGAAAGAGAAGTAGGAAGCAAAGGACATACAAAAAAGGATGGAGGAGCATGCCAAAGCCTAGCTGGAGGGACGGTGGCATGGCTATAGTCTACATCCAGTGAAAGAGCTTTGCTGGTTAGTTCTTGGCATAATTCCTTCTCTCACTTTCTCAGACTAGATGGACATGAGGCATTCAGTAGCAGAACCGGGGTGGGGGAAGGGTTAGGAATATTTAGAAATGGAGATAACCAGTGAATGATACTGAACAGATATAGACCAGGTGTACCATTCTATAATGCCCTGTTTATACACCAAAGGCAGGTTTGTGTTGATAGAACATATCTGAGTTATCATGCAACAGCCTTGGTACTTAGGGAGAAGGGGAATGATGGAATGGAGGTGGGGTTGGTGGACAGGAGGATTCTCAGGTTCCAGTTCTTAAATACTAGAAAGCACGAAACAGTTTGATCTCAGTCCTTTAGTGAAGAAACCGGATGCTCATTTTCTGTTCTACGTCCACCTTCTCCAAAACCTGGGGGGGAAAAACCAATTACAGTCATGAAGGAGCTATTGTCCAAAGCTCTTACCTGAATGTTTTTCCTCCCTCCCTCTTGTGCAGCAGAATTTAACTTTTCAAACTAAGAGGTGACTGACTGACCTTAACAAATTCTGTAAAAGATATGGCACTGTCTCCATCCTGATCAGCCTCCTGGATGGTCCTGTCTGCAATACTGCCCAGCTGTTCATCTGAGATATTCACTCCGACCATCATGCGTAGGACCTGCAGGACCAAGAGCCAGGAATTACAGGGGGGCTCTTTTACTAAGACTAAATACAATGCTACCCCAATCTTCTTTTCCTATGATGTCCTCAAATACAACAGCCAGAGAGCTGAAACACTTTATTTTCTCATCTAGACCACTCTAGATAATGCCATGAACAGAACTCTCTTGCAAGGTCATTAAATAGAAAAGTAAAGCCTCACTTAGGGGCAGCCCTTTGCATTTTGTTCTTCCCTATTCTTCCTGGCTAAAATGTAGACAGAATGTCTGGTGGTACCATGAGGCAAAAGTCACATGTACTAGGGTTGCCAGAACAAGAATATAGAAGCTTGCCTCCTGGACATCATTCAGGTACTATACCAATCTGGACAATCTACCCCTAGACTTCTTGTTGCACCAGGCAAATTAGTTCCTTATTGGTTTTAGTTAATTTGGTAGGGCTTTCTGGAATCCCACCCACATGCAGTCCTCTTTCAGGTAGAGCATTAGCCTGCTATCCCTAAAGTATGGCCAAGAAATATTAAGATCCTTGAAGGGTTAAATACTAAATCCTCCTCTCTAGAAAAATAAAAAGCACATTTAAAGGATTGTGAGAACTGCAGTAAAGAGAAATTAACAGTTTCACTAAATTTATCTCAAACATAACACCTCTCAACCCCCGCCGCCAATTCTCCTAACATCTTTAGCGTGTGCATATACTTTGAGAATTGCAACCTTAAGCAAAATAAACAACTCTAATGATATTACGAATCTTAGACAATATGAATTACGAATCTTAGACAATAGTCAGCCATCCCTGTCTTCAAAAGGTAAGAGTTGAGCTTTTCGACAGGAAAGAAAGGCCTTCTAGCCCAGCTGTTCACAGGCCTTCCTTTCCCTCACTCCTTTACATTCTTCTCTAATGAAATAGTTTTTAAAATGTAAATTACAGGATTTTCTGAAAAGAAAAAAGGGCTTAAATATTGATTTGCATCAACACTGGTCATTTTTTTTTTCATAATTCTTGAAAACTGGAAGTTGTATATTTTGGGCATAAATGTACATAAAATGAAAGATTAACAGAAAGAGGCAATGCTAGCAAAAATAAAAAATGGCTAAGCCATTTGCCATCTTCCCTGATTGTATGTGGCCAACTAGGCAAATCCAACCTCAAAAAGCAGGAGCTTTTTCAGATCTCAGTCCAATTATTCACTGAAGTGTTTTAGTTTTAGAATTATAAAATTGAATTGTACATGTATGCTGTGTGTGTACAAGGGGGTGATTTCTTAAAAATCACTCATCTAGTCTGTTAATGAAAATGTGAGGGTCCAGAAGTGGCTTGATACAGGTCTCAGCAACCAAGGCTCTGAGCTGTCTGCCCAGACCTCACGCCAGTGCACCTTCCACTTCTACATAGTGTCACTTATAGCTCTAATCAGAAGTTTATTAGCAAATAGGGCTTTTATTGTGGCTAATGTCTGGTAAGATTTTTGTGTATATATATCCTTTATCAAGTTTAAGAAAGTTTTATCTCTGTTTTTCTAAGACTTTCTTTTTTAATATGTTAACAGCAAAATATATTCACTGATTTTCTAATTTTAAACCAACTTTCAACTCCTGATATAAACCTACCTTGGCTATAATATAGTATCCTTTTTATATATTGCTGGATTCGATGTATTGATATTTTAAGGTCTGTATATCTATGTGAATGAAAGAGATTGTGCTGTTATCTCCTTGCACAGTCTTCATGTGGTTTTCACATCAAAGTTATACTAGCCTCATAAAATAAGTATAGTAACTATATTGAAGTATAAATGATATATAATAAACTACATATTTAAATTGTACATATTTAAAATTTACAATCTGATAAGTTTTGACATATGTACACACCTGTAAAACCATCACAATTAAGATAATGAACACATCTATCCCTCTAAAGTTCAACAAGGACTTTTATAAAAATCATACTAGAAAAACATGACCACTCAAACTTTCCTCAGGATAAAATAAACTCACCACAAACTTTTTAACATCCACTGAAAAGAACTGCATGTCACCAAACATTTTAGAAATGGCAGCATCTAGAAAGGTAAACTTTGTTCTCTTCTCACTCCGGATAGTTCATATCATCTTCTTGCTAAGATCAAACTAGTTCTCTGACACCTTAACAGTTCATGAGCACATTTGTCCCAAAGTCATTTCAGGCCTGATAAACATTCTACTGACACTGACTGGCACTCTGGCCACATGATCTCCTTCCCACTCCCGGCCTCAGGCTTTTTTTATCCTAATAATAGAAAATAAATCAACCTTCCACTCCAAAACAAAACAAAACAAAAAAATTTCTGGCAGCCAGATCTGGGCCAGAAAGTGAAAACATGTAACTATAGAGTGACTGCCTCCACCTTTTTTCTTCAGAACTCAGAAGCCTATATGTAGCAATTTAAATAAATTCTTCTTACTAAAGAAAGATATCCCCAACTCAAAAGCAAAGGACATTAACACTGACCTGTGGACCATTTCAGTTTTTGGGTTGGTCCTTAATCTGGCCTGAGTAACTTTCAACTTAAAAGATTTCTCAAGATACTGAATAAGTTCAGATTTACTTCAGGGAGAATGGAAACCACTTAATTTTTGTGTTGTATCTTGGAATAGAGAAATTTTCCCATGGAAATTCCTGAATGTGTTAGCCTCCTAGGGTCCTCCAGGTATATAAATATTTTGAAAAGAAAAAAGAATTTTCTCCCCTTCTAAACTTGTATTTAGGGGAGGGGAGAGAAGAAGAACAGAAGGGCAATGCTAATAGGATGAAGAGACAATCACATCTAGAAGACAGGAAAATGTCCACAGGTAGCAACAAAGAACAGTAAGCAGTCAGCTCAGTTGCACCAGCCTAGCAGCAGCTCCTTAACTCTGATGTCAAGTCCAAGGATAGACAAAACAGCAATAATTATCTAAGTGTCATCAGAATTACCTGGTTGCCGATAGACTGACAATAACTGAACTATTTAATTTAAATCATCTTGCATATTATAGCTCTGCCAGCCAACACCTAAAAGACACTTAGTTAGCTTTTAAATAGTGGAGACATCTGTCTGTGAGAACTCAATAAACCATTTCAAGTTTCCCCAGGTCATCTGCTCTGCCTTATATCTAGGACAGGACTCTGCACATAGCAGATGTTAAATAAATGCTTACTGAAGGAAAGAACAATTCCTACCCACAAGAATAAGTAGGCAGGACCCAAACACAAGTTATCTGTGTGCATGGGAACTCTCCCACATACCTGTAACAGCTCATCACGGGAAATCTTGTCGTCTTTATCCAAATCATATAGTCGAAAAGCAACTAGTAGGGAAAAGCAAGAAGTTAGTGGAGATTCAGTAGTGTTTGTCCCTTCTCAAGGAACTAAATATGTAAAAGACAGAAAACTGAGAGTGAATTAATAGTTTTTCCAAGAGCAATTGCCATTACTTAGAGCTTTCAAAGACTGCAACATTTAAGAAATTGAGATGACTCTCATAAGTAATAGTATCTTAGCTTTGGTGAAATATGGGCCCCTCCTCAAACAAATCAGAAAACTTAACACAAAGTTGACTGTCCTTTTTCTTCTTCTTTTTTTTAACAGACCATATGTCGTTCTGTAAATTCGGCCATCTCACACAACCCCTTAAGTCTACTGTGCACCACTCAGGGGGAGCTAACAATAGGAGCCATACAGGTACCAAACAGCTGACTACACAAAGTATTGCTCTGTAAAAATGGCCACTTTGGCAAAATTGTGCCAAATTTCAAATAATTCTCTATCACCTGGAAGTCCTGAAGGTAAAGAATTTCAGTTTCAAATAAAAATGCCAAGAATTTGCTGGTCTTCGTGTTTCTTTCTCTTTTAACAATAGGCAAGTCTTCTAGAAAGCCATATATATGAGAATTCAGAAGAGCAAAATCATTCAGACAGTACTATGTTGCTGAAAAGCTACCAAGTAAATAGTGTGACAACACTGGATGATTTTATAGGCACCGTGTGAAATCGTCACACTGAGAAAGTGACTGCCTTGCAATTATAGCTGATTTTAGTGTGGTTTTGAGACTTTGAATCACTTCAAGTACGCCCCTAAGATTTCTGGTTTTCAGTAGGGTGCTATGAATATATACATCTAGAGTTAAGATATACAGATTTATATCTTGTCTTTAGGAACTCATGATCTAGTAGAGGAGAGCAACACACACTACTCACTTTAACACATTCTAAGGGCTGCCACACATCTGAAATTCAAGGGGACAAAGCATATGGCAAATATGCCTTTCTGATTCAAGTAACATTTGAACAAGTCTGATGATGAGTGCCATTTCAAGCCGAGCTAATATTAGGTACAAAAGCACGAGAACATGGATGAATAACTAAGTTTAAACATCAACCCTCCCCCGCAAAAGGAATGAGTCCACTAAAAGTCAAAGTAAACATCTTTTAAAAATCGAATTTGCTCTTTGAAAGGTCCTACTACAATTCTGAAGGAGTAAGTTAACTGGGAGAGACTTTCTCTGATGTTTGCCTGTTCTCTTTAATTTATTTGGTTGAATAATTATCCTTACCAAACTTGAGAATTTATATGCTTAAGGTTTGGAGTCTAAGGGAAAGGAGACAGGATCATAAGGGTTCCTAAAGGAATGTGTTTAATATAGTCCCCAAACTAAAACACACACACACACACACACACACACTCACTCACTCACTCACTCACTCTCTCTCTCTCTCTCTCTCTCTCTCTCTCTCTCTCTCTCCTGCATTTGCTCTCATCTTTCTAAAATACCATAAAATGTGTTATCTACTAAGCTACCTTTAGGATGATTTCAGGATAGAAACTTGTTTGCTCTATAACCCATAAATATCTATTTCTGAATTTCTTAATAGGGTAACTGGAGTAAACACTTACGTCTCTTTCTGCCAAAGTATTTACAGAAGCCAGAATTGCTAATTCTTTTTTCTTTTTTTAATTTATCAGGGTGACATTAATAACATTAGATAAATTTTAAGTGTACAATTATATAATACATCATCTGTATATGCATTGTATGCTCACCACCCAAAGTCGTCTCCTTCCCTCATCATATATTTGACTCCCTTTATCCTCTTCATCCTTCTCTCACTGCCTTTCTCTGGTAAACCAGTGTACTGTTTGTGTCTATGAGTCTGTTGCTTTGTTTTATAGCCCACGTATGAGTGAAATCATATGGTTATTGTCCTTTTATGAATTATTTTGCTTGGCATGATACTCCCAAGATCCATCTATGTTGTAAATGGCAGTATTTCATCTTTTCTTATGGCTGAGTAGTATTCCATCAGATATATGTATCACATCTTTATTTAATCATCCATTGAAGGATACTCAGGTTGTTTCTATGTCTTGGCTACCATGAATAATGCTGCACTGAACATATGGGTACATATATCTTTATGAATAAATGCTTTCAAATTTTTCAGGTAGATGCCCAGAAGAGGGATTGCTAGGCCATACAGCTTACTCTTCATTTGAGAAACCTCCATATTGTTTTCCATAGTGGCTGTACCAGTTTACATTCCCACCAGCAGTGTATGAGGGTTCCTTTTTCTCCACATCCTAACACTTGTTATTTCTTGTCTTATTGATAATAGCTATTCTAATAGGTGTGAGGTAGTATCTCATTGTGGTTTTGATTTGTATTTCCCCCATAGCTAGTGAAATTGAACATCTTTTCATATATCTGTTGGCCACTTGTACTGAACTACTAATACTTGAAACCCAGCTGCCATGGAATGAATGTTTGTGTACACTCCTCTCTTCAATTTCATGTGGGAACCCTAACTCCCAATGTGATGCTATTAGGAGGTGGTGCCCTTGTGGGTGATTAGGGTTAGTTTAGGTCATGAGGGTGAGGCTCTGGTGATGGGATTAATGTCCTTACAAAAAGAGAAGAGATCTCTTTCTCCCTGCCCCCCACATCCCCCTACCTCAAGATGGTGGCTGTCTATAAACCAGTAGAGGGCCATTGACAAGAACAGACTATGTTGGTACCCTGACCTCAGACTTCCTCGCTTCCAGAACTGTGAGAAATGTCTGTTGTTTAAGCTACCTAGTCTATGGTATCCTGTTATAGCAGCCTGAGCAGAATAAACACCAGCAGAGGGGTAACTAGAGAGATCACTCAATAGGGCCTTTAAAAAAAAAAATGTAGCAATAGTAGTTATTTCTTAACTGACTTGGACTCCTGTCAGTCAGTTCTGGCCCTGAATCAGCTGAAACATTTTATCCACGATAATGAATGGTCAAATGTACAAATGACTGAGCCATTTTGTTAGGTTCTCTCTTCTTACCTCCTCTCCCTTTCCTGATTCTTGGTCCTATAATGTGGACTCTAGTCTCCAGAGCTGCCTGCCCGCATCTCTAGTTCCATGGCTTCAAATGCCATTTAATGCTAATGACTCCCGAATGTGCATCTCCAGATTGGACCACTCCCCTGAGCTCCTACTCTTGATATCAGGGCAATACAGTACAGCGGTTAAGGCTCCAGCTCTGCTGAATCCTGGCTCTGATGCTTACCAGCCATGTGAATATGAGCAAGTTACTAAACCTCTCTTTGCCTCAGCTGCCTGAAAATAACAATAACCCCACCTCATAGGGTTATGAGGACAGAACGAGTATTGGAAAGGCACTTTAAATAGTACCTGGCACACAGTAACAACTCAATGTCATCTACCTGCCATCACTTCTCTGCCTTCCTCTCCTATCACTCACTTCTTTCTTGATAATGCTTCCTTGTTCTCTGAACACACCAAGTACTCATCTCCACCCACAGGTCTTTATGCTGGTTGTTCCCTCTGCCTAGATCTCTTCTGTTCTTTGCAGAGTTGGTTCATTCGAGTTCACTGGTCATTCCTTTTTTTTTTTTGACTACCCTTTCTAAAGTGGTGACAGCCCCCTATCACTTTCTTGTCTCACCTTATTCATTTCCTGCACAAAACTTGCCATGATCATAAATCTTGTTTATTCATTTGTCTTTTCCCATATAGTCTGTCTCCCTTATTATATCATAAGCTCAATGAAAAAGCAAAGACCTTCTGATTTATGCATCATTGTATTCTGGGCCTAAAATAGTGCCAGGCATATAGTAATTGCTCATACATTAGCTTAATAAAAGACCAAATGAATAATCTTAGTCAAACCTTTACCTTTTAATCACTGTTACTTCTTTTTTAAAAAATCGTAGTAGTAAAATATACTACTACGATTTACTACTACGATTACGTAAAATATACGTAAAATTTATCATTTGACCCTTTTTTAAGTGTATAGTTAAGTATTTTCACATTATGGTGTAACCATTACTACCATCTATCTCTAGAACTTTTTCATATTCTCCAACTGAAACTCTGACCCATTAAACAATAATTTCCCACTTCTCCCTGTCCCCAGCCCCTGGTGACTTTCTATGAATTTGACTACTCCAGGAACCTCATTTAAGAGTAATCAAATAATATTTAACCTTTTGTGTCTGGCTTATTTTATTTAGCATAAGTAGATTCATCCATGTTGTAGCATGTGTTAGAATTTTTTTAATTAAGGCTGAATATTCCACTGTATGTAAATACCACATTTTGTATATCCAGTCGTCTGTCAATGGACACTTGGGCTGCTTCTACCTTTTGGTTATTATGAATAATGCTGCTCACTATTTCTTCTTGGCTACTCTCCCAAACTCAACTTCGCCAATATTCCTCATCATGAAAATAAAATATCTTTATGTAGACTCCTTCTTTCCCACATTATTCATTATATGTTATAAAAAAAACTTAGACCATTTAAGAGGACAATTAGAACATTGAAAGGGAAGGTTATAGACCTCTCCCTTACTTACATGCCCTCAAGCATTGTAAGGCAGTTCATCTTTCTTGTAAGCCATTAAAATCTCTCTGATCTAAATAGAAGAATAAGGAACCATTCCTGGGAGACAGACAGATCAGTAGTACTATGTGTGCTTAGGCCTGTGCATACATAGATACAGTTAAGCTTTGCTGGTTGCACTTGTCATTCGTTCACTGTGGCATAAAATAACAAAGAGGATGAATGTGCTCTCAGAATTCCTGGAGAGACTATTCTATGCAGAAGAGGGACCGTAAACAAATTTGGTTCCAGAATCCCGCATTTTTAAGTATGGAAGGTAAATGTGCCTCACTGACAAATGTGTTACTAGATGTATGATGTTCAGTTGCTCTCAGTCTACAACAAGAGGTGCCATCTTGCTGCCTCCACAGCTCTGTGGGAAATTCAAAGAGAACCAATATACAGGTAGAGAAGCAGACATCCACGACT